AAAAAAAAATGCATACAAATCTGTTGAAGAGAACTGCAAATTTGGATTGAAAAGTGAAGCCAACGCAACAAAGGACATGCAAAACGCATTGCGAAGGACATTAAGTGAGCCCCAAAATGAGCGTGAGTTAGTGTAATTAACGCAGAGAAATGATGGCGTGTAAGTAAGTCGTTCGTTCATAAATGTTTGACACAAACTCTCTATGCTGCATAATTAACATGTTGCATATATACTACATACATACATACATACATATATACTTGCGTGTATACGAACATGTTGATAAGAAAGAGGAACAAGAAGAAAAAAAAACGGCATACATGCAATAAAAATGCGTAAAGTATGCTTAGTTATGCTTTTTCTTATGGTTTTATTGCAAATGTATAAACAAAGTAACACTTGCAGCTGCAAATTTATACTATTTACATATATATATTAATATATACTAAATATAAATTACGAACATTAGAAACGCGTATCTATTTAAACATACATACATATGCACGCTATAGTAAATTGAAATATTTATATTAACAAATTGTTGTATTATACCTATATACACTGTAAGAAATAAAATGTAAATAAATTGCATTTGTAAAGACCGCATTGTAGCAAAGAAATAATACCTAATTTACATAACTATATATATAGCTTGCTGAAAAATTCACAAACTTTTGCAAAAAAGCTGCCAAAAACTGTTGAAAGTGATTTATTAGTTGCGATTTAGCGCCCATTAGTGTAATAGCATATTATTATTATTATTATTATTTTTTTTTTTCGCTATAACAAGAATATTAACTACTTAGAAATACATCAAGACATAGACATACATACATATTGTAGGCCATAAAAACAAACTTTTTAAAGTAAATAAATCAAATGCTAAATAATCCAATTGAACTCGCTGCCACACCATTTCACCTTTATGTTTGTATGTGAAGAAATTTGTATATACTCGTACTGTGTATTTATTATGTATATGAAAAGATGCAATATTAGAGCTATTTTTTTTTTGTATATTTAGCTGAGACAAAAGGATATTCAAGTAGAAATATTTAGAAAGCAATAAATTAAAAAAATTGTGTATAGAATTTTCAGCGTGAAACAGAGCTCCTAAAATTAATAAGTTTTGTAATAAAAAGCAAAAAATGTTTCGGTAGATTTTAAAAATCTATGGTTTCAAACAAGCACACCGTTTAATTTTGCATTTTAGTTTTTTTGGTCAAAAATGTAGACACAATTTGCTCGCGTTTGTCAGCACAAAACAATCAATAATATTTGTTTTATATTTCTCAAGTACTATTTAGTAAAAAATCACGAAAAAAATCGAATTCAGAGAAATTATATGTCACCCCTCAACTTCAAACTGGAAGCTCCAACCATATGCCTGATAATACAAATGACATCGTGGCTGACGGACCCCAATTATTATATATTTTATTTTAAGTTTGCGATACAGATATGTAATGCGCAAAAGAAAATTCCTCGGTAATAATTTCTTAAAAGATATTACTTGAATATCCTTCTAGTAAAAATTATGCTTGTACGTGAAAAAGCTTACTATTGCTGCTTAAAAAAAAGATGTATGATTTTAGTTTTCATAGAAACGTTTATCAAATACTAAAAATTATATCAAAATAGTTATTTTGTGCATTTTTTATTAACATTTCCATGCTGGCTGTATTCTTGCAGATTGACTATTACCGCTTCGTGTCCAATGAATCTTCAATATTTTCCTATGGATCGGCAGTTGTGCCACATAGAAATCGAAAGCTGTAAGTAATATTTCTTTTGCTATTCAAAATACATACAAACATAGGTGTATAACTGCATACTTTAAAACTAAATAAGATTTTCGTAATTTAAGACCTAAATAGAAATTAGTGCTTAGTTTAGCTTATAGTCATACAAATTTATGTGTATTTTTAGTGTGTACATAGGCTTAGATTTTGCGATAGGATAGGATAAGTATCGTCATGAAATGAAAGTGATTTGAAATAGTTTTAAGAGAAATTGATTACACTGAAAAAATAATAATAATGAATTTATATGAGGCGTCAAAACAATTGCTAAGTAGTCGGCACTTTTGTGAAAAATATGTCAATTTATTTGGTTATATTTGCTACTAATGCTAAAAAACTTGCAACACCCGTATTAAGTGCTTGTACTAGGAACTGCAGGTATAATATTTAAACAGCAACAAAAAAAAAAAAAAAATACATCTAAATGAGCTTTACTTTCTAAGTTACAAATTAAAAAAAAAAAGAAGAAAATTTCGATGAAAGCTTTCTACAGATAGCTAGAATTTTGGTTGTAGCGTGAAAGCTTAATGTTTAGCGCTTTATTTTGAACATATTTATAGGTAAATATATACATGTTTGAAAAGCTTAGACTATAGTTTCATATTGTATTAAAAAAATTTAAGAAAATAAGGAGAAAATCAGCGTACTATATACTTAAATTAGTTGCGATCGAAGAGAGCTTTTTTTCTTTAACTGTCTATACGAAAACTATAGACAGTATGAAAATGCTTCTGCTTTGGTCATGGCTGAATTTATTATCAACGAGATTTAGCTGAAAAGTTGTTCACTGAAAGCAAATTGCTTTGTTCGAATTAGGCTATTGGAAAAGGGAGGTCGAATTTAAAATTTTTTATAATGATTATTCTGAAAAAAAATAGCAAGATATAAACAAGCCTTTATACTTAGTATTCGATTTCAGTTTGAGGTAGTTTTTATATTCGTCTCAGAAAGCTTCGCTTTTTTGGTAAAAGCTCTTTGAAAGCTTTAGTACATTATTTCGGTTTGCTTTAAAAAATATTTCTCCATAGCTCCTGACCGTTAAAACGGGAAAATTTTAGACTCAAGTTTGAAAGTTTTCCTCTAATACTAGCAACAAAGAGAAAAATAGCTTATAGCCTAGGAAGCTCTAATTATTCGAATAAATAATAAGCTCTAAAAAAAGTAAAGCATTTTTTTTTAGGGAAAAGCTTCGCTACGATTCGCTTTCTTTGATTGAAAAGCTTTAAGCTTAAAAGCAATAAATCGAATAGGATATAATTAACTAAAAATGTACCTCAATTCTTATTAGTTTGTTTGGGGTGAAAAAGTAGTGAGCTTAAACTTAGAAAATTTTTTTTTCATAAATCATATGCCCGCGTGCGAGCTCCGCTGTTTTTTTTAACTAAATTTATATAGAAGTGTCCTGGATGAAAGCAGTATCTAGCCAACACTGCTATAGGAAGATAACTTGACTAAAAGCTTGCACTCAACTTGAGCTTAGTTTTACTTAATTACTAACAGCCAATTTTAGCCAAGCCAGTTTAGTGAAAAATGATTTAAATTTTTTGAATTTTACGTGGAAATCGACAGAAAACAAAAAATCATTTTCAACTTAAATTGCTGGTGAAATCGGCTGTAAAAGTTACAAAAAAGTGGCAGTGAAATCAAAAGTCTACGTTATTTTCTAAAATAAATTTTATTTTAGGTTGAAAAATTCAACCATCGGATTCTCGCAATTCGATTTTGCGAACAATTAACTAAAAAGGCAATTGCCACATTTCGACTACAAAAATAGCACATATTGCGTAACCTTTTGTTCAGGTTTTAATTTTTACTTATTTTCCAATAATTTTTTACTTGCTTTTCTGATGAATTAAAACAAGGAATTATTTATTTATCCTAAGTTTGAAAATAATTTTATATTTGATTAAATTTAACTTTATTTTCAATTAAATTACCCAGTCTTAAATCATCAACGTTTAATTGAATTAGTACAAAATATTCCTCACTTGAAACAGTTTTACAACAAATACATTCAAATCAAAATGCTCCTTACGAAACTTCACCATCTTCACTTCAGTAATTACCCAAAAGCCAATCGCAAAAAGCTCATTACAAAGCTCTATTACCGAATATTGAATTACATTAATTTAGTTGAAGTGCATTTTAGTACCTTGGAAATATTCATTATTACATAAAAATTCACAAAATGACCACCGAATTTCAAAATTTCAGAGTTATTTAGTAAATTAAATGAATTGAAGAAAGAAACGAATTGAAATACTGGTTGGTTTTCGGTCGCCTTCTTTCTTTTGTTAGAAGCAGTAAATTATAAATGAGTGAGTACTTATTTCATTGTGAAACCAACTGAAGGTCTGACAGGAATTCAGGAAATTAGTTTTCGATATGCACGACACAAATAATTTCTAATTTATTTAAACGCAAATTTCGCAAAAGTTATTCTATATAGTAGACCTATGTATGTAGCTTTTATATCAGCAGTATTTCTAGTATCCACAAGGGCAACAATATATTTTATGTAGGTATAGCACTTCCAACCCGATCATTTCATCTTCATTAAAACTAGCTTACTATTAATATTTGTTGGCCGTTCATTTGGTAGTTGTGCACACAAAAAGTCGGTTAACACAGTGGGAAGTCTCAAGAATTTCAGTTTGTTTTACGACCAAATCCGAACTGAATGGCATTGACAATAATTCCAAGGCGGAAGAATGGATGCCGACGTAAGAAATCTAAATTGCTTAAATACATATTTCTTCCCAGTAGATGGAAGAAAAATGCGTATAGGAAAACCCATATGATTCGGCCTGTCTGTATCTACCTTGCAGGTAAAAGTACCGATACTTAAAATATCATATACCGGTCAGAAAGAGAACTTACCGTTCATAGTTGCGGTTCGTTTGCATAAAAGCGACAGGCAATTTTAACATGAGGCTTTCATTGGCGATCAACGATTGCCACCTTATAGGGCAACTCTTCGCAGAAAAAGCTGCTGTGATATGGTAGCCTAAAATAATGACTTAATGGGAGGTTTGTCAAAAGTATCTTCTTTTATAATTTTTGCTTCTATTTTGAGGCAGCTGTAGAGTTTTCTTGTAGGCCCAATCCAGAATCGACAAGAAAGAAGTTAATATGGAAGCTTTCTAGGGTTTTAGTAGGCGGCATGCATACCGCCCTTTAAACTTTATTAGGCTTTAGAATTAGTGAGCGACTTATGTAGTTTAGTCTTTCGACTAGCCGCCCACAATACTTAGGGCGTTCAGCAACAGTTTGCCCAGCACTTGTGGAGGATTACTGGTGATAGTTGTAGCCAGATTATCGGCATAATAAATAGCGCTGTAAGTACCGTTAGATTTCAAAGGAGTGTGGTGTGTAAATATTTGTGGAGACCCCGTTGCCTCATGTTGCATATGCATACATCTCCAAATGTCTCGTAGACTGATTTGGTAAAGGGCGGACGAAGTGCAGCGGAAGTTCTAAAAAGTCTAAAATAACTAAATTAAAACTAGCACGCAGGAAGCTTAGTTTTATATTGACCAGCGACATCCACCACTTCGTCATAGGCTTTCAAGTTTAGCTTTTAAGCTCAAACTTTTTTTTAGTCTAAAATTAAAACAGTTTCAAAATTCGAACTTGTACTACAAAACTGTGATATACATACGTTCGCAATTTGAGTATAGCTTTCGGAAAACTTTCTGTAATATTTCTACGTTAGGGTGGTCCTTAAAAAATCAAATGAACGTTTTGTTTCAATCTCACCCCCTCAATCGGTAATACCATGGTCATAGATATCACATAAAAATTTTAAATTAATGTTTTTCTCATCTAATATCCAAAATCGACACGACCATAATCGATGATATCACGTATGAATTTTGGTCCCGATTGGAGTCAGATAAGACGTCTTCATAGGGTAAGGTGAATTTTGACAACTGTGCGAAACGCCTTAACCGGCTTCAATCGGGACCAAAATTCATATGTGATATCTTCGACTATAGTAGCATCAACGTAGGGGTTGAGGCTTGGGAAATCTGATATAAAAATTTGCTTTCTACATTTAGGGACCACCCTAGTCTACATATATACGTGTGTAAACAGGTTATTCTAGAAGTAAGCTTTTAACGGGTTGTATTTTTTCTTCGAAACTGAAATCATACTTTTTATAGTATTTACGCAAAATACCACAGGGTGATACAGATGAAACCTTAACGGTTTCGAAGCATGTGAGTGCCCCTCATGACTTATTAAGAATTTTAGTTTCAATTTCAATTATTTTAATATCTAATTAATTTTTTATTTTCAGGGTTGAATTCGAAATTCTAAAAAATGTATATTTCGAACTTCACTACTTGATGCATACAAATTTTCGTTTACGACCTTTTTAATTTTGTCATTATTATGACTTATTTTTCTCACTTCCGATTCGAACATTATTCCAGTACATCGAAAACAGTTATCACTATCAAGCGATCAATCATTTTAATCGTAATCAGTAATCAGTAATCAATAATCAGTATATAAGCCATATAAAAATCTAGTTAAGTTCTTTTTTTTCAAAACAAATCAATAATTACAAAAAAAAAAAAAGAAAACAATCAAACACATTTTCACAATTTAAACACAAATATTAAACTTAAAAATCGTTATTAACAAAAACACCTAAGAAAAATTAACAAAAAAAAAAACAAAAAAATTGGGAAATGACGTCATTTTGTAAATATATATATGTATATTATTTTGTAATATGAAGTCGGTTACACGATGCGAGATATCCGTTACTTCTGGAGAGATGGACTGAGTAGTGTTGGCATGAGCAGTGAGGTCGAACTACCGCAGTTCCGCGTTTTGGGACACAGGCAGAGGGCGACCGAAATAAACCTAACCACAGGTACCCCAAACAAAACAACAAATATTAAACTATCTATTTAAAACAAAACAAAAGAAAAAAAAAACAAAAACAAAATAAATGAAACATACAATTTCAAATATTCAAGCATTCAATTTAATGTATGAATTTCATTTTGTTCGTAACCAAAATTTGTTTACAAATAAACAATGCAAACTTTAGACAATTGCGTTTTTTTTGTGCTCATTACATTTAATACAGAACACACACAAGCAAACATAATATATCCGAATCGTTTTTTAATCATATTCAGTTAAGAGATGTTTCCAAACATAGTCTATATGTACAGAATTCACCTCGACTCACCTACACCATGACTGTAACCATCACCATCACCATCACCATAACGTTTCATACATATCAGATTCAAGTTCACAATATATTCATAAGTGTACACGTATGTAAGTCACTAAGTATTCGCATAAGTACACACAATCATTTTTTTTTTTGCATTTTCGCATCACTTGTAATTTAATGCATCGATCTGTTTACGCTCATCTATCGTATATACTCGTACATACATACATTGCATAGATGAATTCTTTCAAAAACATTTGCATTCTAATTAATCGACATCATGGTCAAAATTATTCAGCAAACGATTTTCAAAACTTTATATATGTATTTGTTGTTATTTCAAAAAGCTCTTCTTATGGTTTCAACTTATAACACATACACCAAACGCACCCACACACACACACACACATACACACACACACACACATACACGTCCATACACCCACGCATTGATATTTTTTGTGTTAATTCTTTTGTTGTTGTCACAACTTTTTAACTACTTTATGAATATTGCATATATCACCATCATTGCGTACATACATACATACATACATATATTTGCATTAGTATGTGTTACAACTCATTTAACATACTCGTACATACTACATACATACATCCATAAGCTGTTTTATATCTAAATGAATACATATCTACATACATACATACATATGTGGCGCTCTGTGCAAACTTGATTTATGTGGAATCCGCGACCGCCGTGAGCTACTCGATTAAAAACTAAGCATTTACATACATACATATATGTTTTTATTAATTATTTAAGCTCATAATTGAGTAAAAAATTATATGTATGTATATTTAGTTAGTGAGAAATACTCAATTTCTCACCTAAGGGCAATTCTGTTTAGATCAAATTTCTAAAGTGTCAGTGACATTGTTGACAATTATGACGATTGGTCATTGATCATTTAATAATGACGCCGATGTGCTTTCTAGTCGAAATGACCAACAGTTATCATGCTATCAGTTTATTACATTACATTATTTACAATTACGACGACTTGAGCTGTCAGTAGAAATGACCGAAAATTGACATGCTGACAGATTATGTTGATAATCGAAATGACATTGACGACAGTGACAGCGATTGGAATTTTCAGTGGAAATAATCAAAAGTAAACTTTATGTCATTTATGACAGTTCATCTTGTTAGTCAAAATGACTTATAGATACATAAAAAAAATAAAAATTTTTAATTTTTTTTTCGCTGTTTGATAAAAAAATTCAAAGACTCTGAAATTTTTTTCTAAGCCCTAAAAAAAAAATATGAATTTAGCATTTTTGTAAATAGTAAAAAAAAAAAATAAATAAAAAAGAAATTACAAGAAATGGCTGAATGTAGATACCCATTACAAAATATTTTTCTTCCTGAAACACTTTTTTTAATTGCGATTAAAATTCCTTTTGATGTTTTATAGACACATAAAAAAAAAATTAAAAAATTTTAAATTTTTTTTCGCTGTTTGATAAAAAATCCACAGACTTTAAAATTTTTTTCTAAGCAGAAACACCAAAAAAAAAACAAAATTATATTATTAATTTAGCATTTTTGTAAAAAGCATTACATAAGTTCTGAAAGAGCTGAAATTTAATAAACTTAAAAGCTTCAAAGTTTCGAGTATCCGCCCCTTCGATTCCACATAGTCAATTTTGTCATTCACCAACTTTTGTGTTTACTCGCAATGCAACTCTACTTTCACACCATTTACTTCGTTCTCAAACTCTATATCTCGCTCTCTCTCTCTCTCTCTAACTGTCTGTCTATCTCTCTCTTACTCTAATATAAATTATTTACAAATTCATTAATGTTGTTTTGATTATTTTCAATTCTGTTTTTAATACTAACCAAATTTGTGTACGAAAAAGTGTGTTGTCCCATAATTGAATTTATTAACATTTTTAGTTTAGATTTATTTATATAGAAATTAAAAATTTTAAGTCTATCCTTTCTATATTTTAATTGAGTGTAATTTGGTAATTATTGATTCTAATTTAATAATATGCACTTGTTTTTCGGTTAGTTTTTGTGCGTCGTTTTATAAATTTTTATTTTTTATTTTTCGATGAGGTCCAAATTGCAGCAGGGCAATTCCAGTATAAAGAAGAAGTTTTTTAATGAAATTATGTTAGGCTAGATTTAATTTTTCTTTTTATTAATTTAGCTGAAAACCTACTAAAACTCTTACTCCTTGGAGTATAAAAATAAATTTCGTCTGAGAAGAAGTTTAATGAAATGAAAGAAATCTCGACGATTGTTTTTTGCTTAACCCTTAGCATAAGTAACTAACTACAACGGTTTCGCATTTGCTTGGGTAGGCTTAAAATTATTAGTTAGTATTTTTAAGTAAACAATAAAACGAGTGAAAACACTGTTTGTATATATAGCAACAACTCAAAGGAAAACAAAAACAAAAACAAAAACCCATACTCTAAGGATCAAATTCAAAAATGTAAAAAGCAAAGTAGTGCAGCTGCCCGCTAACTTACAAACATACATATACACCACCGCTAATAATAATAAAGAACAAATATTTTATTAAATATATAGTACATAAATATGAAAGCGCATATAAACTAATTATTGAAAAACTGAACACCAACAACAACAAAAGTCGCTTTAAAATAAATCCCAAAAAGCTAACGTTTAACGTAACCTAACTGCACAGAAAACGCATACAGGCACACATTCAAACCGCGCTGCTGCTCACCCATACAAACAAACAAGCACTCACTCAGGTATATTTATCTGAATACTTGTAATAAAATACACAGCTGAATTTCCAGAAGCATAAAATGCCTAAAAAAAACAACTCTACTGCGCTATACCTTTCGCCTCTACTATCGCCTCAATCTAGCGCTAAATAATTCTTCCGTGCTAGCCGCTGCACAAATACATACATACATACGAACGCCTAACAATCCCAATGCATATATGTACATATGGAACTACATAACGCAAATGAATATGTGTACATACAACTACTAATTACAAAGGGAATAATTAATTAAAAAAAAAAAAATGTGTATATTCATAAAACGTATTTGTAAAAAGTGTAATAAATTTTTAGCATTTGCGTCTAGCGCACTGCATTTACAAAAAAAAAATAATAATATTTCTATACTTAAGCTTTTATGTATACGAAACATAATTTACCAAACTATTTATTGCTAAATACTTTTACACTTGCACCAACGGATGATGCGTAAATTTACTTATAAGAGTTTCGAAATAACTACATGATTATTTGGCGATTCCTTTAAGGTCGGGAAATTGGAAAACTTTTAAGTAGTCTTCCTAGAAATTTTTACAGTTCAGCGAAACTTTTTCCGAATTTCGAGATTTCCCGGATTTTTGCGGTTCACCTAAAAAAATGTACATCAAAAAAACCAAGTCAATCCTCATAGATTTTGAGTCTATGAATCCGAATCTGAAATCTGAACTAAACATTCGGTGATTTTTTTTGTTTTTTTTTTTTTGTAAAATTCAGTATTATCCCAGCCACTGCGAAAGTGTTACCTCTAAAACGTGTATTCGCATCAACAGCATTGAAAATCCTTGACTACCAGTACGTACATTTTGGATGCACGATAACAAAAGGAAATTTAGAAGTTTACGCTGAATTACCCATTAATTCGATTCGGTCAAATTGGCATTTGTCAACTGCATTGTCAAGATGCACAAGATTTGTCAACTTAATGATTGTATATGTAGCTCTTAGAGTTGAGTGCTCAGGGGTTTCTCTACGCGTACTGTTGCTACCAGATCAGTTTATCCGAAAAAAGGGAAAGTATATTTCGAAATACTTCGAGCGCGAACAAGTAACGCACCTCGATCGAATTTCTTAATCATTTTTTTCCACAAACTCCTACGTGCTCTTCCCGAACAATTGTAAAAATATTGTCAAACAGTAAAGAAGTCCAAAAGTATGCTCAAACAACGATTTTTCAAAACCAAAATTCTCAAATTTTTGGTCTTGAAAGTCGTTGGCATTCTGTTGTGAATTGGCATTTACAGCGATATTTTGTAGCTGATCAACTCAGTGAGAGGGCAGGACTAGGATGAATTTACTTATTTAACCAAAATTTATTCAATCTATAAATGTTCGAGTAGACGCTGTGGCCAATGGTAACCAACAACTACCTAAAGATGGAAAAGGCGGTCGCAGAGTCGATTCATGACTTCAGAATAGACTTTCAGGTATTCGATTCTTAAAGTCGATTAACCACCTCTGATAGTCGAATTTATGACTTAAATTAACCTTTTGAAAATTTATAAAAATAAATAAAACCCACCCTTATTAAGTTATGAACATGAAATTATTATTTAATAATTGAAAAAAATTATAATTCATCAAATAATAATACGCGATTAGGCATTGAAATTTAAAATTAGCAACTTTTGAGCAGTGAACCCATATTTAATTATGTATAGTATTGAACGCTAGTTGCTGAACGCAAAAAAAAACGGAATAGGCATCGAAGGAAAATCAATTCTAGTCGACTGGAAACATCTGAACTAGATTAAAAAAAAAAATCATTTTTTTCAGCAAAAAGTTGATTTTTTACTTAAAACAGTGTCGACCACCCCTGCATGATTATATGTAGATCAAGCAGGGCACCTATGACTTATAGCGCTGCGGCTTTTACCGTTTGGAATAACGTTCCGA